TAGTAACTTAGTTGCAACTTGCGGCAGCTCGCTGTGGTGTGCTCTCCCCCTCTAGTGGTACGTACTGGAACTGCAACTGGAAGGGCAGAGTCCTACTACTCAAGAAATCTACAAGTTAATTAACCCCTCCCTGATGCCTCTGACTCCAAGAGCAAAACTCTGCTAGAAATGTAATTGAACTTTGACAACAACACGAGGTAATCCTGAGAGAAATCTTAATTATACAGTAGCAGTTCACAGACGGTTTTTATTTTTGTAGTTTTTAGTTGAGCTCATCCAAAGTGATACATAAAAGCCTAAATATTGTACATATTAATGGGATAGCGTGTAAATTGCATGCATGTATAAATTGTACTGTATTTGAGTCACTGGAGGCCAGGTCAGCAGACTCAATGGAGTGACAGATACTGAAGACAGACAGGTTGCCCTCATATCTGGGCAAAGGAAAAGAAAATACAAAAACAAAAAAACAGAAAAATGAAAAAGAAACCAGGCATGGTATATCATGCCTATAGTCCCAACACTTGGGAAACTGAGGCAGGAGTGGGTTTAAAGCCAGCTGGAGCTATCTGTTAAGTTCCAGACAATTCTGCAGTGAAATTCTGTCCCTAAAACCAAACAGTACCAATTATTGTTAAATTGTCCAAAATAAAGAAGAAAAGGGGGGCCAGTATTCAGTGGGTACCACCGGCAATCTAAAGGGAGACCAGATGAGTGGCTGCTCCCCTCTGCCCTGACTCCTAGCCAGGAGGTCACGTGGATTGTCTAGATCTTGGTTTCCGATATGGGAACAGCTCACAAATCACCGACATGGAGGCAGCCATGAACCCTCCAGGCGGGTTTCTCTTCATGACCGTGTTCAATGCCATCCACCTTCGACTGCCTCTTTGTCACTCCAGAGGCCCAAGTACACATGGTGTAATTCAGAGCCCCTCTCTGTGGGGAGAGGGAGAGAGAGCGATGTCTGATGCTAACGTAGTAAACCCACACAGAAACCGTCTGCAGTCGCTGTAAAGGGAAAGGGAAGGGGACATGAAGATTTTGCTCGTCACTTCTTGCAGTCTCAGCACTGTGGAGGCGGAGGAGGACGTGGACTCGGAGGCCAAACTTAGTCACGTGGCAGGAGAAATGAAAGAGGGACAGTGAGATGACCCAGCGAGTAAGGCACTCGCCACCAAACTTGACCTGAGGGGGTCACAAGGTGAGGAGAGAGAGAACTGACTCCTGAAAGTTGTCCTCAGGCCTCAACATATGCAGCATGGTACACACAGAAACACACAGAGAGACGTACACACTCTTAAAGGGGGGAAAGGGAGGGTTTTGAATTTCTCATAATACAAACATTGATTTTTTTGTTGTTGTTGTTGTTGTTGTTGTTGTTTTTGCTTTTCGAGACAGGGTTTCTCTGTGGCTTTAGAGGCTGTGCTGGAACTAGCTCTTGTAGACCAGGCTGGTCTCGAACTCACAGAGATCCGCCTGCCTCTGCCTCCCCACTGCTGGGATTAAAGGCGTGCGCCACCAACGCCCGGCACCAACCATTGATTTTTTTTTAACTGCTTATTCAACTGTACCAATATGTTACATGATCTTTTCTGTATGCATATTTTATTCACAAATTAACAGTGTGCTTTACTGTTAACTTCCTTGATCTTACTCAGGACAATATAGCTGCAAGAAAAACTAACATGGGCCGGGCGTTGGTGGCGCACACCTTTAGACCCAGCACTTGGGAGGCAGAAGCAGGCGGATCTCTGTGAATTCGAGGCCACCCTGGTCTACAGAGCGAGTTCCAGAACAGCTTGCAAAACAATACAGAGGAACCCTGTCTCCAAAAACCAAAAAAAAAAAAAAAAAAGAAAAGAAAAGAAAAACATGGAAGCCACTATTGTATATAATTAATATGTGCACAAAAAGCTTAAATGTCAAGGATTGAGGAGTCTCTTAGACTCTGTGAGGAAGCAAGTTGAAATATTATGTTAATGAAATTGCTTATGTTCCGCTTTTTGTACACATCCAGAAATAATATACAATAGAACTTAGTCCTTAAAGGCACTGATGGTATGTCTCACTAATAGAGCATATTTTTCTTACCATGGGTAAGGGCCAGGGTTCAATGCCCAGCATCAGAAAAATAAATGCATTGCCATTTAAATCCAAAGCAAACACTCCAGTAAATAGATTTTTTAAAAGAAAGAAAAGACAAGCCTTGTTCATGTGTCTGTTGGCTCCTGTAGCCATCACCCTGATTGATACTGATTCGGTCAGCCGAGGTCACAGCCTGCAGGGGCCATGAAGGCCAGTCTGCATTCTTCCTTGGTAGTTTTAGAAGTGCTGGCATATGATTTTGACCTCAAGAGTCTCCTTCTTTTGACACACGAACACACAAATAATGTTCTTTCATCAGGCTGAAGTTTCAGAGGGTGACAGGCACAAATTCTCAGCACAGAATCCTTTATTCAAAAACCTTTTAACAGTTTATTCTACCTAAGCCAACAGATGAACTGAAAATTATTCTGAAGTATTAATTCACCATTGATAACACACTCATTTTATTAGTAAGACATAGCATTCTTGAAATTTTTTTTAATTTTTTAAATTTATTTTTCAGTTTAAATTTAGATAAGAAACAAGGTTGCTCCACAAGTCAGTTCCAGGTCCCTCTCCCTTTCCCTCCCCTCCTCCCAACCCCCCCCCATTATCCCCTCATTTCCCCAGGGAGGGTGAGGCCCTCCATGGGGGTGTCCATAGTCTGTCATTTCATATAGGGCAGGGCCTAGACCCTTCCCCAAGAGTTCAGGGTGAGAGTGCACCTCACATTGTTGGATGGGAGTCCAAAGTCCGTGTGTATACTCAGGATGGGTACTGATCTGCTACCCAAGGCTCAATAGATTACCTAGGCCTCCTCACTGACACATTCAGGGGGTCTTGATCAGTCCCATTCTGGATTCCCAGGCTAATGCCTGGGATTCAAGAGTTAACCTTTGTCAGGTCAGCTGTTTCTGGGGGTTAAACCAGCCCAGTCTTAATGCATTCTTGAAATTTTGCCATTGTAATTTTGTTTTGTTTTGTTTTTTGAGACAGAATTTCCCTGTGTAGCTTTTGCTGTCCCGGAACTCACTCTGTAGATCAGGCTGGCCTCGAACTCAGAGATCTGCCTGCCTCTGCTTCCCAAGTGCTGGGATCAAAGGCATGCACCACCATGCCCGGCTGTAATTCTTATGTTTTACAAAAGTTTATTACAACATACAGCAGGCTCCAAGACACCAACTTCCTTCTAGATATAGGTGGATGAAGATGTAAGAGCAAGGAACCCAGATATTTAAATCGGAATGGAAATGGTCGCCATCATATCAGATACAAGGGAAAGCTTGCTTTTCCCCAATGTGGTGATGCCTTGCTTGTCCAAATAAATCCTTTCTGAAGATCAGAGGATGGCGCTTGCCACTAGCTAACCATAGAGGTCTGGAGATCCGTGCAGACAGACAGGCAGTGAGATGGCCGCGTGGAAACAGGAAGTAAGATGGCTGAACTGGGAGAGGAAATAAACAAAGAAACAGGAACTGGCTCTCTTGTCTGCTGAGCCACAAAGAAGGGTTAATTCCAGTTGTGGTCAAGGCTGCTCTCCGAGGGCTTCATGCTTGTTTTCTCCCCAGCTCCTTGACCTAATTCCTGCTCTAGTTCAGGGATGTCTTGTCACCTTCACCTTCATGACCCAACCTAGCACCTGCAATACCTTCCCTAGACCTAAACCCAGATCCTGAGCCCTAAATTACTTTTCTGATTGCAATGTAATGCCACCTTGTGCAAGTGCAATTTCTTCTCTCGAAATGGTTCTGTCAGCGTAGGTGGCATCATACTGTAGCTCACCTACTTAAAACAAAGAATGACTGACATATCCCAATCACTGCTAAAGCCTTTCCACTAACCCATGCCAATTCCAAAGCTTTCTTACTTTCCTAATTTTCTCATTCCTTTGGGGTTTATTTTTTAATCCCTGCAACAAATCATGGGTGGTTGAATGAATGAACAAATGAATCACTATGTCAATCACAGCTGTTATTTATGGCTCCTATAGAAGAATAATATTCTTCAGAACAAATACAACCGAAAATGGATTTTATGAGATGCATACTGAGAGTGTTCCTTCAACTACTGTAAAATGATGCTTGAATCATGGTCAGGATTTACGAAGTTATTAGAATTTTAATTGGAATGTAGAGAATCTCTCAGCTGCCTATGATAAACATATGTAAAAATATGGAAATTATGAGGAAAATAATAGGATAAAACTCCAAAAATATTCACTTTATGAATATTTGAATTCCAGTACTTTTTGAACTAATCATTATTTTAATAGCTTTTCCTAGGTTTGTTTCCTGTGTTTTTAAACACACACACACCACAGAGAGAGTTTATATTACCTTATATTTTGTCTTCATGGTTTTGTATTATACAATATTCTGTCCTTATAAACACTAAAAGCTACTTTAAAACATTCATTTAATAGTCCCTTCATACATTTTATATTCCTCAGACTTACAGCTTTTGTATTGTTGGACCAGAGGATGACTCAAGTCGTTTTTGCTTTGTTTGGGCTTCTGAACAAAGCATCATAACTCAAGCAGTAATCAGCATTGGGATGTAAATCTTTGCACTTACTGTTTCTTAACGTTTCCTACGGGTGTTACCAAAGGGTCAGACTGCACAGTGCTGATGTGTATTTTCTGGCAGCCGTCACTTCCCTTTCTTGAGGTGACACCACCTCACCCCATAACTCAAGCTGGTTTGAGCAAGGCCAGGTCCGCGTCCCTCTCCAACGCTTGTAAGAGGACCTGAGTATGGGCATCGGCTAGTGCTGTGTGGTCTTCGTGCCGTGAGGCAATGAACCTCTCTCCTGGTCTTTTCCCTGAATGCTGTGGAAAATTCTCCCTTTGCACTAAGGGTGGCCACTTACTATGAAACTAGATCAACTCTCGAGCGGCCACAGAAGAGCGGCAGGCTTTCCGTGAAGTCGACACAGATGAGAGACCGAAGAAGTCCGTGGCGGAAGGAGTTGGATCCTAGTTAAGATTCTCTAATAAATGCCCCCTTTTAAAGCTAAGGGTGGGGCGCTTCCGCCGTCTTCCCAGCTTCAGTCGGACAGGCGCCGCCGCGGAGAGTCTTCTGGAAGGATCCGCGCGATGGCCGCCCAGGGAGAGCCGCAGGTCCAGTTCAAGCTCGTCCTGGTGGGCGACGGCGGCACCGGGAAGACGACGTTCGTGAAGCGCCACTTAACGGGCGAGTTCGAGAAGAAGTACGTAGCCACCCTGGGCGTGGAGGTGCACCCGCTGGTCTTCCATACCAACAGAGGGCTCGTCAAGTTCAACGTGTGGGACACGGCCGGCCAGGAGAAGTTCGGGGGCCTGCGCGACGGCTACTACATCCAAGCCCAGTGCGCCATCATCATGTTTGATGTAACATCGAGAGTCACTTACAAGAATGTCCCTAACTGGCACAGAGCTCTGGCACGGGTGTGTGAAAACATCCCCATTGTATTGTGTGGCAATAAAGTGGATATTAAGGACAGAAAAGACAAGGCGAAATCTATTATCTTCCACCGAAAGAAGCATCTTCAGTACTATGACATTTCTGCCAAAAGTAACTACAACTTTGAAAAGCCTTTCCTGTGGCTCGCCAGAAAGCTCATCGGAGACCCTAACTTGGAGTTTGTTGCCATGCCTGCTCTCGCCCCGCCTGAGGTGGTCATGGACCCAGCTTTGGCAGCGCAGTACCTGCACGATTTAGAGGTTGCTCAGACGACCGCCCTCCCGGATGAGGAAGACGACCTGTGAGAAAGCGAAGCTGGAGCCGCCCTGCGTCAGAAGTCTAGTTTCATAGGCAACTGTCCTGTGATGTCAGCGGTGCAGCGTGTGTGCCTCCTTAACTAGCTAAGCAGGTCGTGTGCTTCACTGGATGCTGAAGGAGACGAATGGGCTTCGGAGTGAAAGTGGCAGTTAAAACATACCTTCTTTGTTGAATGTGACAGTTAAAACATACCTTCATTTCTTTTTTTTTTTTTTTTGGACTTGCATATCTACCTGTTTGGAACACAGTTGTTTCCTTCCTGAATTTCAAAAACAAGACTGCAACAGTCACATCACACTATTCAGTCGGTGGTGACATCTTGTTTGTTACTGTCATTCCCATTCTTTTTGTTGAGAATCAGAATAAAGTTGTATTTCAAATAATCTAAAAAACTAAAAAGTAGAGTTAAGGGTGAGGGACTTGGTTCGATGGTTCACACCTTCAAGCTCAGTACTCAGGAGACAGAGACTGCCTGAGGCCAGCCTCATCTACACAGAGTTCCAGGCTAGCCAGAGCTACCTACTGAAGCCCTGTCTCTAAAATAAGATACAATATAGCAGTACAGTACAGTATGGTATAATGCATATAAAGGGCTGGAGGGTGACTCAACAATTAAAGGTGCTTGCTGCTGAGCTTTATCTGGGGAGCAACATTGTGTAAAGAAAGAACTAAAGAACTGACAACTGACTCCCCAAGTCTCTCTCTCTCTCTCTCTCTCTCTCTCTCTCTCTCTCTCTCTCTCTCTCTCTCTCTCCTATTTCTGATTTGAAAAGAAATCTTCTTAGTTTGTCTCCATTTAGTAAATTGATGGCTATAGGTTTGTTCCTTTATTATTTTGGCATATGTCTCATCTCTTCCTAATATCTTCAGGACTTTCATTATGAAGGGATGATCAACTTTGTCAAAGAATTTTCTACATCTAGGGAGATATTTATGAGACTTTCATCTTTAGGTTTGTTTGTGTTGTGTATTGAAAAGGGCCCTGCCAAACACCCATCTGCCTCTCTCCCTCTCTCTCTTTCTTTCTTTCTGCCTGTCTCTCCCTCTCTCTCCCTCTCCCTCTCTCTCTCTTTCTTTCTGCCTCTCTCTCTGTCTGTCCCTCTCTCTTTCTCTCCCTCCCTCTCTCTTCCTCACTCCCTCTCTTCTCCCCCTTCCTCTCTCTCCCCCTTTCTTCTCTCCACTTTCCTGCAGCTCTTTTTCTCTGGAGGCTGGTCTCTTCCCTTCCCTTTCTCCTTTTTATGATCCTTTTCCCTAATTTAAAAAAAAATCTTCTGCTTGAATCCTGTCCTATGGTGTCTTTCTCTCTTGTGACACTTTTCTTAAATTACCGCCATTTTAATATTCCTCTATAGTTTCTCTGAACTATGGGTTATTTGAAGGTGTGAACTAACATCTGATTTTCATGAAGGTTTTACTTTCTAAATTAACGGTTTCTGGCTCTTTTAGATCATATGTATGTGTTTACTTGTTTGGTGGTGGTCTCTGTGCTAGGATTGCATTTGGAGACTAGAGGACAGCCTGTGGGAGTCAGCTCTCTCCCTTCCACTACTCAGCTTCTCAGACTTGCCAATACACTACGCATTTCACCAGCCCCTGACTTCTGGGTTTTTGTCTGTTTTGTTTTGTCTTTTCATATTTTTATTTTTTTATTTTTTGGTTTTTGGTTTCTCTGTATTGTTTTAGAGGCTGTCGGTCCAGCCCAGCCTCGAACTCACAGAGATCCGCCTGCCTCTGCCTCCTGAGTGCTGGGATTAAAGGTGTGTGCCACCACCGCCCGGCCTTTTCATTTTTTTAAATTTAAATTAGATACAAGCTAGATTCACATGTCAATCCCAGCTCCCTTTCCCTCCCCTCCCCCCCCACCAGTCCTCCCAGCCCCCCACCCAATCCCCACTTGGATCCCCAGGGAAGGTGAGGCCCTCCCTGGAGGATCTCCAGTGTCTCTGATTTCTGGTTTTAATTTGCTGATTTCATTTCCTTTTTAGGGAAAAGAAAACATTTATAAGTCATAGTTTACATATATAGTAGATGCAAATAGATCATCACACCATTATCATTGTTATATTTTGCTATCTTAAATGTATTAGCTTTGTAGAAAAATTTTTTTTTCTGTAGTGCTAAGGATTAAACCCAAAGTCTCAAACTTGGTAGGTAGGCATTCCACCACTAGGCTACATCCCCAGCAGTTAAAGTCTATTTTTAAAAATCATTAATGTGGGCAGGACAGAGAGTTGGTTCAGTGGTTAGGAGCACTTATTACTCTTGCAGAAGACCAGAGTTCGATTCTTGGCATACACATGGCGGCTCCCAAACATCTGTTAGTCCAGTTCCAGAAGCCATTTTCTCATTTCTATAGTCACCAGGCAGAGACATAAGTACACACACGGTGCACATATATATATATATATATATATATATATATATATATATATATATATATAAAACGAAGGTGGGGATCCCCTGGAACTGAAGGTACAAAGAGCCGTGAGCTTGTGGGTGCTAAGAACCAAACTAGGGTCCTCTGCAGGAATAGCAAGTGCTCATAACCACTGAGCCATCTTTCCAGTCCCTTTACCTTTACTTTCTGTGTGCTATAAATCCATTGCTTGTCCTTCGTGTACAGAAGACTTTACCTGAAGGTATATTTCTCCAGTTTGGAATTGACGAAGATCTGAGAGCATGTCTTACAGATCTTATTTAACCTATTTACATAACTTTAGAGAACACTAAGCACTCCAGGTCCTTTTGCATGTTCTTGGTGTTGTTTCTAATAAAATAAACATTGCTGTTAAAAATATGAACACGACAATATAAATAGTTCCCATCCTTCATACTCTTTCTAGGAGTTTATCAAAAGCAATAATGGAATTCTCCGGGGAAGACATTTTAGATGATGAAAAGGCTATTAACACTGTTTTTTATTAAGTCTTTTAAATCATGACAACATGATTATACAACCTCTTATCAAAGTCAAAGACAGCGAGTGCCATCGACCTCAGGCAAACTTAATTGAACCCTCTTAGCACATCTTATCTAAACTATTCCCACAGAAACACATTCTGCAAAACTGCGATCTTGTCCAATATGTCCACACCATACCACTCGCTCCTGGAGATAGAACTCCTAGAGTAATTATTTTCTCCATGGAAGTGGGTGAAATAGCTTTTCAGCAAAATGCATTTGGCCTCCTTTCCTTAGAAAACATCAACCTGAATATTTGACAAAACATATTCCATCTTTGGACAAAGTCTATGTTTAATGATGATACTAGTATAGCATTACTAATCATTGGAAATAACCATTATTTCTGTCCTTCCCTCAGTATGAGCAGAGTAATACACTGCCTTAGAAAAGAACAAGACATGACATACAATTGTCCAGAGCCCTGCCATCTTATTTTCTTAGTAGCGAGAGGATTATACTTAGCATTAGGATGGCACTTGTGGTAGTTGGAATGAGGACATACTCCTGTATTTGAAGTTTGGTTCTGAGGTTGGTGGCACTGTGTGGGGCATCTTAGACCTTGCTGAAGAAAGTGTGTCACTGCAGGAGAGCTATGGGAGTTGGAAGGCTCCCACCATTTCCAGCTGCTCTCCCTGCTTTGTGCCTGAGGTTGAGATGTGTGCTCTCAGCTTCTTGTTCCTGCCGCCTTACTGCTGCCCGTTGCCATCGTTCCCAGCTAGGATGGATTCTTATTCCTCTGGAACTATAAACTCTATTTGTAAACTCTGTCTTTGTCATGACGCCTTTCACAGCAACAGAAAAAGAACCAATAGGCTACTTCAAAGAGTGTAAGAATACCGAGTGAGATTTTGGCCTTTATCTTCCACTGTGCTGTAAACACCTTAAGGGCAGAGAACCCTTAATGTCCAATGCTGTACTTGCAGCACAATGAAGTGCCTGGACCCTGGTGGCCAGTGGCAATTACTTATTTTAATATATGGGTAAGTGACTGAGCATTGAAAAGGGTCAACTTTTCCTTATTCTGTGGGGAGAGATAGTTTATTTTGCTGGGTTGTAGATTTATGGAATATTGTCATCAATCCTAATATGCAATAATTGAATAATAAAATATACCAGATTCATAGTTCTTTATCAGTCAATACATTAAGTCATATTTGAGCTCTATCTTAGTCAAGATGACAAACTCAAAGTGGGTATTTTTGTCACTTCCCATTTACAGATGAGAAAACAGAAATTGAACCCTGTTTCCTGCAACCCACTTCTGTTATATAGGGGATGAAACTGAACCCCCTTTCCTACAGCCCATTTGTGTTATAAAGGCACTCGATCTTTCCCTTTTCAGTTCCCTATAATAAAAGTCTTTCTTAGGACTCATCCTCTGAGGTTAGAGAACTCTATCCCTCAAATTGCTAAGAGAAGAACTTGGAGCTCCTGACCAAGTTAAGGTTTTGTGTGAACACGAGCTTCTGGCAACCTAACTGTTAGGTTAATGTCCACTGAGAGAGAAAGCCTTCATCAAACCCATCACCAGTTCCCGGAATCACTAAAGGCACATTGGGATGCTACACAATCACCCACAGAGCTCTGAAAATACAGATGCCCTCAGGTGGGCAGGGTGGCTCAGTATGTAAGGGGCACTTGCTGTGTAAGCTTAAGAACCCAGGTTCAATTCCTGTAACCCCTGTATTTGTAGGAGAGACCAGACCCCACAAAGTTGTCCTCTGGCCTCCACATGCTCATTATGGCACATACATATCTTCGTAAATTACAGACCTCCACTCTCAAACCCAGATGTAGCATACCTACTCAAGAATTCCAGTCATTCACATTTGAAGTGAATTCAGCCATGGCAGTGGTTCAGCCATGGCGAAGGCAGAACTGAGGTTATGAAGGCAGGAGGATTAGTTCAGGCCAGCTGCACCACCTATACAGTGAGTCAAAGGCTAGCCTGGGCTGATCAAATCTGTCTCAAACAAATTGTAATAAATATAATAATTGAAGGAAATTTACCAATTAAATAATATACTTTGCAAATTTGATATTATTATTCTCTAGAGTAATTTATAGAATGAATGTGTGTGTGTGTGTGTGTGTGTGTGTGTGTGTGTGTGTGTGTGTGTGTGTGTGGTATTTATTAGAATGACATACAGGCTACAGTCTAGCTAATCCAACAATGTCTGTCAACGAATGGAAAGTCCCAGAATTCAGCAATTGCTTAGTTCAGGATGCTCTAAGGCCAGTGAAGAAATAGACTTGCTAGCATGTCCTTCCAGTAGAAGGTGTGTCCCACATTAAAGTTGTGTCTTCCTGCCTCAAGATCAGGATTAAAGGTATGTCTTCTTAACTCAAAGATTCAGATTAGAAGTAGATCTTCCTGCTTCAAATTAAACAAAAAAGAAAAATAAATAAATAAATA